TTATGTATATGACAGTAAGAGTGCAAATGAGCCAAATTGACTCGCTCCGTCATTCTAGTGTTAATATCGTCTTCCTAGTTTACGTTTGAGGTCACCAATTTAGTAAATGAATCTGTTAAAATTAAACTATTGTATATATGTTTTAAATGTATTCAAAATATTTTGATTGTAAATGTCGAAATGTCACGACTTTTATATTCTCGTAATCCAAGGCGAACATGTATAATAAACATTTTATTTGAAATAATAAATATTGAGATCAATAATTAAGATAATACCTATTCATTTTTGTAGATCGCACCATATTATAGATTTTTTTGTTATAATTTTAATTACAATCTGTCATACTCGGACGTCCAGTCATTGTTTTGACGTCAATATATGGCTTTTCGAATGGACGGCAACCCAATAGTTGTCCAATTCAGTTATGACTTATTAACTATGCTCGAAGTTTGTTGACTTTTCATAGTATTATATTATACTCACGAAAGGCGATTTTTACTTGAGATTATATTTGAGGTCTATAATAAAATTTGACATCAAAGCTGCATGATGTCGGATTGTGGCGAGAATCAATCTAGCGAACCCAGGACAAGAGTTTGTGCTAGCCCACGTCCGAACTAATTACGTCACCGCTGGATTCATATTATAGATTTTTTTATACACGTAGTTGTTGCAATCATAACTATTATATGTTTTATAAGCTGTACTGAACACTGCTTATTACTAAGACGATTTTTTTTTTATATATTTTTTTTTGAACAGCGATCAGAACCTTACGTCCTATGAGCAGTTGGGCTGAAACTTCTCCTTACTTTGTATTTATTTTAGATGGTAACCCAATGGTTCATCCATCCATATTTGATGATTTTGTTATTAGAATTAATCTAACAGGGCTGACATTTTATTGGTGCAGCAATGCCGGGCAAGGGCTATTTTCACTTGGAAACATATTGCTTAAGACGATTTTGTTGATGGTAGACAATCCGTTGATTGTCCTTACTCTATCTACGATTTATTTTTATACTGAACGCTATTAGAAAGCAACCCCTTGGTCGTCGTTCTAATTGGGATATTGCCTGACGACAGGCTGCTCGAAGTGGGTTTCGAACCCGGGACCTCTAAATCAATTCCCCCTTACTTACGGGCGAGCCCATATTAGTTGGTTAATTTTTCTTTATCAAAATCCGTTCAGTAGTGGTGTATCGCAAACATATATGGTGATACGAACTTCATACAAAAATACACACACACACACACACATATATATATATATATATATATATATATTATCATGTGTGTGTATCAATTTCTGTATATTAGACAATTGAGCGAAGTACCGCTGCATCGTTCGCTGCATAGGAAGCCTTCGAATGCACTTAAAACTGTATGTATAGATCGGGGCACACGTATGAAATGTATGATCGTCGTTTGTATTGAGGCCGATTTATTGAGATTACATTGTAAATGTGTAAATATTGACTATGTGGATATGCTGTGGATGTGGATATTGGTACGGAACGGTATACTTCTCCGCTCCATTGTGCTAAAGAAATCCGATTATTTACGTTTAAATTAGACTTCTTTCTTAATCTTGATGAGATTTTGTAACAAAAATTATTTATCAATGTCATATTTAGACTTCAGTATGATGACATCACATGTTGCCATTACAATGGCATGGCAGAGGCAAAGTGGGCACAGGTTGCCAATGTGCAGTGCGCCTTTGAGCAGGAGACTGCAATAGGAAATTTCCAACTAATTTTGCAAACTATTTTCATTCAAATTTAGAACTCCATCTCGTGCATAAAACGGCGTAGGTTGATTTGATATCAGAATAAATTGTTTGTAATCATGTACTTTCTTTTTCTTTACCGTCGTAAATAAAACGGTATAAGTGAAGGCTTAAAAATATTTGTACGTTTGTACCAAGAATTTTTATCTTTTATGTTCTTAGTCATTACCGATTAATTAATCCGAATATTTTAAAATATTTTTATGTTTTAAGGATATTTCTGGCATATTGTAAAAATTATTGAATTGTAATGACGATTTTGTATATGATAATGTATTTGTAATTAAATACATTAAAAATATAGTATTTAAATATGGAAGAAGAATTAGAAGTAGGTGGAATAAAGAAGAAGCTGGATTTACAAGAAAGAAGAATTCGCAAAATTAAAATAATGTAAAATAATGAATAGAAGAGGATATAAAATAATGTTGTATGTGGCTAAATGAGAAGAAAAAAAGCTTTTTCTGGCCAAGGAAAAAGAAGAGAAAATAATGCTTTCAGAAGTTGACATTGTTATTATAAATACTATTTGGAAACGACAAACTAGCTTACGATAACGATATTATTTTATTTTAAACGATATACACGTTGGTGCCAAATAATTAATCCAATAGGCCAAATTCCCATTTGCACAAATCATCTCCACCGAAACAATCGGAGAAATATGAATTTGTGAGTACTATTGGTAAATTAATCATATATAATTTTGTAGTGACATACCAAATTATATCAAAATTTTTACATGATATAATTTACGACCAGGAGTAAGTGGCATTTTGCCTGCAGATTTAGATATAGATTTTTAAAAGATAATTTTTTTACTTAATTACTTAATTTAGAATTGATATTTTTCAAACATACATATAATATGTGTAATTGTATTAATTGCAGTGCACTACCACGTTTAGAACATCCACGGTGTATGTAAGTCCTAAAAGCGCGACCAATTTTTCGTGAATGCATCGGTTTCAAAATTTTTATAAACCTTTCAAAAGATATCAGTTCGGATAATACTGATTGGATTTTGAGTGAAATTGACTGAGTCGTTTTTTCGTAATTAAATGTTATTTTTTGCGTTTTCAATAAAACTTCACAAAGCAAAAGAGTTCATGGTTTAAGTCTATATGTTATAGACCTGCGAAAAGTGGTTTAATTATAAAAATGCAAAGTTTAGAGTAATGGTCCGCATTTTTATAACATACAGACACATATATTATTAATTCATTTGAAAGATACCAATTGCAAAACGCATTAATTTCGTTTTAGTTAAAGTGAAAACTTTATTTTCGAAATAAATAGCATTATCTAAATAACATCATCAATGAACAACATTTTCTAAACAAAGTATGTACCTATCAATTTTATTGATTAAGTCTATTACTTTTACGTATTGAGAATTTCAAGCAACTTTTGCATCAAAGCAAAATGCAACTTACAATTAGTTAACTACAAACTGTTGAAAAACATAAAATATTTGAAAGTATTTTTCTATAGTATTTATTGGTATTTTTCTATTATGTTTCCATGAAAAAGTAACAAGATTCAATTGTTATAATATTTTGTTGCTTTTGATGGGTTCTAAACCTCTGGGTCGATGCTGAAAGGATTTTATTAAAACACATTACGCAACTTTTGCAGTTGAATCTATAATGTATATTCGAGCTGTAATTTTATATTATGCTAATCTAATGCATATAATGTTCTGTTCTAGATTTTTGACATTGATTTCTTTATTTATGTGTATTATTCAAATTTATTTGATAAAGTTTGAAGAGTATTATTAGGTTAATTAGAAGTACGTTCATGAGAGTAATACTAATTAGAAACTAGTATAAACGATCTCGTTGTTGAATTTATTAAATTAGAAACTTTATAAAGTTTGTGATTTCCCAGTATACTTATGACTTGCTAATATTTTAACACATGTAGTATTCGATTATTTTTAAATATTTAATAATTTTAAATATTTTGTTTTTAAGTTTTTTTTTAATTTTTAAAAATACTAAATTAATTCTAAATAATCTACGTTTACTAACATTGTGCAATGTTTTGCAATTTGGGGCATATTTTATCTAGTATTTCAAAGGTATTTCAAATGTATCATAAGTTTTCGATACCCAAAAATTATTTTTTTAATTCTCTTTATTAATTGCAATCAGTAATAAAGAAGACATTCAGTATTTTTGTCATATTTGAGCGTTTAGCATTAATTCTAAGAGATTACTCAGTATTTAAGCCTTTTAATTTTTGATAAGTGAATTTAATATGTCGTCGTTATTTAATTATGAAGTGAAAAGGTAGAGTAAATTATATTAAATAGCATATTAAAACAATAATAGTTGAATAAAATAAATAAAAATTAGAAGTAATTGTAATTATAATCAATATTCATATGGATAAATGTAGGCGCTTTCTTATTAGGCCGTTTGTTGATGTGCGATAAATTTTTAAAAAATAAAAAAATATAGCATATTTAACTTTCCCTCACTCGCCCCCTATTTTTTATTACAAATTTTGCGCCTTTAATTTGAATGCATCATGAGGTTTTTTTCCTGTATCTTTGAAGTAATTAGACCTGTCTTGGCTATAAACTTATCAATACGTTTCCTTATCGGTTCAACCGCGTGTTCCCGAAATCGTCGATGAAAATTTGTATTTGCGCATACATACATCCATTCTTTAAGGTACGCCAGAATGTTCAAAAACCTTTGAAACGTAAAGATATATAAAATTTTTCATTTTCCATTTTTTGCGATTACAACTTTCCCTACTGGAAGTTTATCGAATGTGACTGTGAAGAAATTCTTTAACGCAAAATTTACAATTCTTATTGTTAGAACAAATATGAATATTTTTTTATATTATTGAAGTATGTAACGCGTAATAAATGTTCTATAACCAATTAATTAAAAATAAACGAGACATAAAAACTATTTAAGTAAAATTTTAGGAAGGGCGGCATTTTTATCAGTGACCCAGGACGCCAAATTTCTAAATGCGGCCCTGGATTTGTGTATATAAATTTGGTCAAAATATTTGATTTAGTAGTAAAATATTTGTACTCACAATACAAAGTCAATGATCGTAAATTATAAACAACGTCTGCAGAATGTGCTCTCACAACATGGACCTGCCTCTGCGCGCATCACAATTGCCGTGTAAACAGTTAACGAATTAACGACCAAGTCCGCCGCTCCGCATGTATCTTTCAACCTCGATCGACGCGTCAGTGCAGGTTCGATTTCCCTGACCGCTGGATCGTCGCTAGCCGCGCTGTCACTGGAGCTCAGTCAGTTTGTCTTTCGTATCTGTGCAGGCACGAACAGTATTTGTCATGTCTGCTTCGCCCGTTTTGGCGAAGATATTCGTATCTTTTGGTAACGCGAAATTTGAAAAAAGATATCTTCCTAACCACGGTGCAGTCTTCCATCCTGCACCATGCAATCGTTAACATTTAATTCGGCAATTGCATCAGACGCGCGCTCCGAGTGAATGAAAGTGATAGTGTTTGTGTTATTGTTTTAAACAATCTTTATATTTATGAAATTATACAAGTTTTTCACGCCGATCACCTTATCAGCAGCAGGTAATAAAATTATCTTCAATGGCAGACAATTTGAAATGAAATGTTAGGATAGATATTTGCGCCAATGTGTTGTGTAAGAAGACCTTATCAATTAGATTATATCCGCGTGCTTATAATTGTCGCGGAATGCGTTTATCATACGAATTTTTATTTTCTTAACAAGATATATGATAAACTAGCTGTAAGTGAAATTCTGTCTCAAGGTAATTAAGGCATCGTGCCTTAAGGCAAATTGCTGGTACTTCCCGTACCAAAAATTATTATTTTTTTAAAAACGAATAACATTTTTGAAAAAAAAGTACTTTGAAAAAATAAGATTTTTGAGAAACTATAAATTGGACAAAAAAATACTTTTTTTTGAAAAAAATTTGAAAAAAAAAAAAAAAATTTAATTTTTTTTTTTGAAAAAAAAAATTTTTTTTCTTTATTTTGACATATTGTGGAAGATCTGAACTTTTTTTTCAAAGCAATCGTACTGCTTTAACTGCATAGGGACAAAATATAAAGCGCGTAAGCGCCGCGGCGCTGTCTAACGCATAAGCATTGATACGGAACCCATAGGAATGTTAACAAAATGTATACTTATTGTTAAAATTTCTATAAAATATCTGATAATTTGATGTGCATATGTCTAATGATCATTTTTGACCGCCAAATGGCTCATTTTTTTACTTTTTTCATTAGATCTCCGAAACCGCTAGACCTACCTTCAGGAAAATTTTATCGATTCTTCATCTTGTCAATACAAGTGAAATGTTTTTTGAATTATTCAAATCGGACGCTCCGTTCTCTTAAAAACTGAGTTACCGTTTTCGGCACTTTTTGCCCCGTATCTTCGGAACGGCTAGACCTGCCTTCGCCAAAAACTAATCAGCACGTCTCCTTATCAATACGAATCGAATTTTTTTTGAATTATTCAAATAGGTTGATCCGTGTTTCCGAAATCGTCGACGAAAATTTGTATCCGCACATACACATACATACACACACGTACATACATACACACACACATACACACACACACACAATACATCCATTTTCAGAAACCTCTGAAACGTAAAGATATATAAAAATTTTCATTTTTGATTTTTTTGCGATTACTATAACTTGCCCTACGGGAAGTTAATAACACATTTATACTGTGGAACCTTGTTAAGACTATCATGCCTAATAATTTTGTAGCAAATATACGTCATGCTGGTTCCTGCACTTTAAAAGATGAATATTGCTTCTATCCGTTTTTAGGCCCGGGCTCTGGAATAGTATATAAGCTTAATTTTATTATATATATATATATATATATATATATATATATATATATGTGTGTGTGTGTGTGTGTGTGTGTGTGTGTGTTGATAAAACAAAAAACTTCCTAACAGGTATTCATCCAGATAATAAAATAGAAAGAAAACTTAAAATAAATGTCTCTTAAAATAAATGTAATCGAATCTATACGTTTCAAGTCTCAATTTGACTGTTCCTCAGTAGAAACAAAACACACACATGATTAATACACAAAACAAAAGCATGTCAAAGAAAATATTACCTCACAAACAAGCATGTTAGAGAAAAATGAGAATAAACTAGTGGGGTGTGTGGCATCGTGCCTTAAGGCAAATTGCTGGAACTTCCCGTACCGTAACGAAATGTTCGAGGAATATTGAATGTTTTCAAATATATTATTATCAATATTATAAGAATTATATAAACTGAATTGCAAAGTTGAAATTATTTGTTTAAAGTATATTAGAACTTTAATCAGAATGAAAAATAAAATCTGAATTATTTTCGATATACAAAAAAATTTTTTTTTTGAAGAAAAAAAATTGAAAATAAAAATTTGAAACAAAAAATTTTTATTCTAAAATCAATTATTTTATCAAAACAAGCAGAAAGTTTTTTGAATCATTTAAATCGAACGCTTAGCTCTCTCAAAAACTGCCATTTTTGCACATTTAGCTTGGTATCTTCGAAATGGCTGGGCCTGCCTTTGCCAAAAACTAATAATCACTTCTCCAAATCATTACTAATTGAATGTTTTTAGATCATTCAAATCGGATGCTCCGTTCTCTCAAAAACTCGATTTCTATTTTCTGCACTCTTTGCTCTTTATCTCCGTAGCTGCTGGACCTTCTTTTGCCAAAAACTAATCAGCACATCTCCATATCAATAGGAATCGAATGTTTTTTGAACCAATCGAATCGGTTGATCCGTGCGCCCGAAAACGTGGACGAAAAATTGTATCCATACATTCACACACACATCCATTTTTTCTGAAGCATGTAAAAATGTTCAGAAACCTTCAAAACGTCGAGAAATGCTACAATTTTCATTTTTGATTTTTGGACGACCATACAGGAAGTTAATTATTTTTCAAAAAAACGAAAATAATAAATTCGACCATCACATATCAAAGGATGAAATACGAATCCATAGATTTGGCCACTCTTTCACTGAGGAAGAGTCAAATCGGGACTCGAAACGTATGTAACTATTAAATTTATTTAAAATTATCTGGATGGATGCTTGTTCAAGAAATTTATTATTTTATTATATATATATATATATATATATATATATATATATATATATATATATATATATGTTGAAGGTGTTTAAATTTGATGTTGAAATGTATGTTAAAAACCCAATAGTTTACCTGCTTTTTTGTACTACACATTTGGTTTTTATATATTGTTTAAACTATATATTGCTTTTCATCATGCGCATACATATTGTATTTATATATAATTCAAATGTATTATTTGAAAAATAAGAAAAAGATAAAAATAAGCATGTAAAATTATTCAAAGTAAAAATTTCCTGTGCGTTTTCATGAGCCGAACTTTGATTACAACCTGAAACGGAATCAAAACATTCAAATAAATATAGATAATAAAAAATGTGTTTACATATATTCTCCAGCTCTGTGCATATGTTAACGTTAATTAATTAATTGATTAATCCTCCGTCTGAAGACACATACATTAGCTTATCTGATCATGTGTGTGTCTTCTCCCAAAAATCTAATGAAATAAGTTCTTTTTTTTGTTTAGTGTTTCCTTTTCGCTGCCTTTCATCTTTGATTAAAACAATTGTATATTTTAATACAATAATTATGTGTTTTAATACATCTTGGTTTTTATTTGGCTTTGAAAACGAGCAATTTTTTGTACAATGCAATAGAAATTAGGCGTACACAATCATTTGTATGTTTATTATTCAATATTAATTATTATTAATTCAAGCACTAAGATATTATTATTGATCACTCTGATTGATAAATAAAACTTTATTTTTTAATTAATTTATAGGTTTTATATTTATGTATTTAATGGTGATAGATAATAAATATCTTCAGTATTTGATTTAATGAAAATATCTTCTGCTACATTTATTTTCTATGATTTTAAATTAATTTATTGTTATGTTTATGTATATGTGCATATTTCTTTTTGACTATCGACTTTATAACGATCATTAAATTCCCAGACGAGTAAACCTGATATTCCGGTAAATTAATATTTAAATATATGGACAAAAACTCGAAATTCACTTCCGTGCTATGGTTTCATTGGCAATTTAAAATGACCCGTAGAACTAGAATTACGGTATGGTCAAAAAATTTAACCAACCTTATATATATCGCAGCAGCGATGTTCATTTTCACTTGAAAATGTAGATCACAAATATTATTTTCAATTAAAAATAACCCCATTTCGGGCACTAATGTGTGAAATGGCAATGGGAAATCTCTCACAAATTCTCTGAAACGACGTTGGAAGAATATATGAAATAATTTGAGCCCATTCGTCGAATTAGAAAAACATTCTTTATTAATTATACGTTTTGAAGCTTGATGTGTGTCATCATTCCAATCTAAAATACATAAATCAACATAAATATTCGATTAGACAAAATTAGAATTCATATTCGTCAACAATCAAAACTGAACTGAATGACTAACAATCTATATATATATATATATATATATATATATATATATATATATATATATATATATATATATATATATATATATATATATATATTTTTAATTCTGACTATAGTTCTAATATACTTTAAACAAATAATTTCAACTCTGCAATTCAGTTTATATAATTCTTATAAATATTAGACAATGTTACAATATTTATAATAATCTATTTGAAAACATTCAATATTCCACGAACATTTCGTTACGGTACGGGAAGTTTCAGCAATTTGCCTTAAGGCACGATGCCATAATTGCCTCAATACAGAATTCCACTTACAGCTAGTTATTTTTTATTTCAAAATGTGCTTCATTTTATTTTATTTATATTCAAAATCCTTTTTAACTTTCCGTAGGGTGAGTTATAGTAATTGTCAAAAAATCAAAAATGAGTTTTTTTGAATATCTTTACGTTTCAGAAGTTTTTGAACATTTTGGCATACCTTAGAAAATATGCATGTGTGTATATGTTGTTGTGTGTGTTTGATTCCTAATGATAGAGAAACGCGCTGAATAGTTTTTGGCAAAGACAGGTCCAGCCGTTTTGGAGATACGGAGCAAAAAGTGCAGAAAATAGAAACTCGGTTTTTGCGAGAACGCGGCATCCGATTAGAATGATTCAGAAAAGTTTTGGTTTGTTGTGACGAGGAAACGTGCTGCCAAACGTGCAAAAGTGCAAACATTAGCAGCTTTTGAGAGAACGGATCATCTGATTAGAATAATGAAAAAAACATTGTGCTTTTGACAATTTGAAAAATAATCAGTTACTGAAAAAAATTCTCAAATGATTCGGTACGGCAAGTTCCAGCAATTTGCCTTACCGCACGATGCAATGCACCACTAGTTATTTATGTAATTTAGATATATGAATAAGACCAATTTATTCCTCTCTCAGATTTTATTTGTTTCATTTAATTTTCATTTGATCTGTTAAATGCTTAACGAGCGTTGGTCACCAAGCATTGACTTGCAGAAGACTCGAAAATAAATTAAACCCTCAGCTTCG